GGGGAGGGAGGGGCGGGGTACGGTGCCAGGCAGGAAACAACAGATGTCCACCACATGTGCTTTGGGGGAAAAGATACTGCCACATTAAAAGTGCAAGTCAATTTGTAGGATATTTTGCAATTTCAGAAATATTAAAACATGGGGGAAGTACATGCATCTTAGAACCAAGGAAACACAACAGAGCAATGCCGCTGAGGTGTCAGAGGAAAGTGGAAGCATGCTAGAAGTGAGGCTGGAGAGGGAGATGGAATCAGATCTAGAAGGCCTTGAACACAGAGTTCAGAGTCTCTGTGTCCTGCTAGGGCTTGGAGTTCCCTAAAGGCCTGTGATCTGCTGGGTAAAACACTGGGGAGGGGAGTCCAGAGGTGTCAGAATGGCTGAGGGGTTCTGTGGGGCTAAGGTGGAGAGAATGTCTCTTTCTAGAGTTGGGGGTGTTTCTAGAATCATAGGAATATGCAGATTTAAGAGATGAGTTGGAAACTGACAGCCATGCATCATGAAGGGGCTCTAAATAGTTTGCAAAAAGCAGATAAAGGCCTGAAATGGGGATTAAGAGCTAGAAGAGGAACCAGAGAATTGAAAATCCTGGGTGCAGGACAGATAATGATGGATTGAGTTGGGGAAAGCAAGTAGGCAGCAAGCTTATCCTAAAAAGATACTTGAGCCAGGGTCCATGCTCCCTGCTGAGTTATGTGTGGGAAAAGGCCAGAGGTGGAGTCATAACAGCAGAGTGGGAATTTTACAAGACAAAATTTTAGAAGTAAATATGACAGGACAGCTAAAACTGCATGTGGATAGTTGAAGCTGGAAGCTTGGATGGCATCTTGAAGCAAGAAAGTATACTGACAAATATGAAGGAGACCAAGGATAGACCAGTGGTTTTTTTTAGGCAGCAGAAGGAAAAAATGAAGCTGAACCAAAGACACAGAGAAGAAACCATGTAAGCAAGAGAAGGCCTAGAAGTCAAGGGCAGAGAATGTGGTCAAGACTGCAGAGATCGGAAATTGATCCTGAGTGAAGGCTGCCAGGCTTGGCAATGACTCGAGAGACAAGATACCCTGGGGGAGTGGAGAAAAGGGGTTCACTGCATGGTGACTGCTGTAGGGCTCTGTCTTTTTAAAAAGTTGGAATAGAGAAAGGAAGATGAAAATGGAAGAAATGGAAAGACAAGGGAGGGGCTTCCATCTTTGGGTTATAGTAACTATCTATATAGTTTATCATGTTCCTTAAGTAGAACAGAAGCTCCATGAAGGCAGTGACAATGAATTAAGGGCATGTTGCATTCTATTCTATCCCCAGGGTCTAGAACAGTACCTGGCACATCAAAGAATTAAATCAATATTTGCTTAATAAAGTTGTTGACCATGTTGCCAGGTGGGGACACCTTAGAGGGTATGAGAAATGTGAAAGACCCTCATGGTGGATGCAAGAGTAGGGAGGGGTCCTACCTCTGCTGCCTACAGTGTCCAACAGTAGGTGCCACCTCCTGGATCTAGGATATAATCTCCCATTCTTCCATGCCCCCTATCTATAAGGTTGCCAACCTGCCCAAGATTCTGACTCTGCCAGTATACCTTCTTCACTCGAAGGGCTGTAATCACATGGCTTTCATCGTACTCCCGTTTGGAACGCACATCTGAAAAGGAAGAGTATTTATAATAAATAACTGTATTTGCAAAGGAATACATGACCAAGCTACTTAGAGAACTTATATCACCATCATCTATTTGTCTGGCAGATAGGTGATAGTTACTATTAGTTTAAAACTCAAGGTGTAGTTCCACTACTATGAGCTGCCCACACGATGACTCCCCTGTCCTATGACATCCATGCCCAAACTCCCCATTAAGGGGTAGTAAGACTTTGTATCTTCAATTTAGGGAAAGTTTTATCTGAGGCCCAAAAGACGTTCAGAAGAGAGGAGAAATCAAAGCCAGAGAGAGCTCATACCAAATGCCCCCATGGAATTTCAGGCCCAAATTCAGATTCTAGAACCTAGAGGCTAAGGTTCTAATGCCCCTGCAAGGACAGGTATGTTGTTATGCTCCTCAAAGTTGTAAAGAACATAGAACATAAATTGAGCCTTATGCATAAATACTAAAAGACAGTTATCCAAAATATACAGAGTTCCTAAAATTCAACAAGAACACAAACAACCCAATTAAAAAATGAGCAAAAGATATGAATAGACATCTTACTAAAGAAGATACACAGATGGTAAATAAGCCTATGAAAAGATGTTCAACATCATATGTTATTAGGGAACAGCAAATTAAAATGAAATACCACTACACACCTATTAGAATGTCGAAAATTCAAAACACAGACAACACCAAATGTTAGTGAGGATGTATGGCCATTTTGGCAGACAGTTTGGCAGTTTTTAACAAAACTAAACATACTCCTGTTACTTTCCCAAATGAGCTGAAAACTTATGACCTCATGAAAACCTAAACACAGATGTTTATAGCCACTTTATTGATAATTGCCAAAACTTGGATGCAAGCAGATATCCTTAAGTCAGTGGTGGGTGGATAAATAAACCATGATGCACACAGACAATGGAATAGTATGCAATACTAAAAAGAAAAGAGCTACCAAGCTATGAAAAGACAGGAAAATTAAATGCATAGTAAGTGCAAGAAGCCAATCTGAAAAGTCTATATACTGTATGATTCCAAATACATGACATTCCTGAAAAAGCAAAACTGTTGATAAATTAAAAAGATCAGTGGTTGCCAGGGGTTAGTGGGGAGAGAGGAATGAACAGATAGAGCCCAGAGGATATTTAGAGCAGTAAAACTACTCTGTATGATACTACAATGATGGATATATGTCATTATACATTTGTCCAAACCCACAGAATGAACAAGACCAAGAATGGACCCTAATGTACACTATGGACTTTGGGTGATAATGATAGGTTAAAGTAGGTTCATTAGTTATAACAAATACATCATGATGTTACTGGGTGTTAATAGTTTGAAAGGCTATGCTTGTGTGGGGGCAGGGAGTATATAAAAACTCTATCTGGTGCTAATTTTGCTGTGAACCTAAAACTGCTCCAACAAAAAATAAAGTCTATTAAAAAAATACATAAGAAAGCACTAACCACAAAAGAAAATATTGATAATGCTAATTTTTCAAATTAAGAGCTTCTATCTCTTTTCAATGAAATATAACATTAAGATAAAAGGGCAAGCCACAGAGTGAGAGAAAATATCTGCAACATAAATAACTAACAGGAGGCCTGTATCCAGAATTTATAAAGACATCTGAAGAGATCTTTATTTTAAGACATCTTTAGAAACAGCTCAAGGCCACACTCAAGGACGACCCCAGTTCCCCCTTAAAGTGCCTGCCTGAGAAAACTCTAGGCTGCCACAAAAACATACTATTTGTTCCAGCCAATGAACATCTGATGATAGGGCCCCTGTCTCCCAGCTTCTGGGGAGGGTAAGAGCCTAACATTGATGGGCACCAGTTAGCAAACCCAGATGGGTTTCATATGGGCCAGTCCCCCTCTTTTTGTAATTTTTCACTTCCCTGACTCTACTGACCCCCTGCTTGCCCGCTTCCCTGCTCCCTCACTCTCCCTTTAAAATACCCTGTCACCTCTATACGAACTGAAGTTGAATTCAGTTCACTCTTTTCTCTATTGCAATAGTATATTACTGATTAAAATCCATACTTACCACTGTAGCATCTGGCATTGTTTATCTTTGACACCACATAGCAAGAAAAATGCACAAACTATAGTATAGCTATGTACAAAAACATGAGTGAATCTTAAAATATTCTTGAGCAAAGGAAGTAAGTACATGGTCTGTATGGCTTAAAAACAAGTGAAATTAAACACAGTATATCGTAAACTAATTTCACTCATTAATACAGATAAGATCTGAATGAATAGTAAGCCAAATCTAATAGTGTACACACAAAAAAATATATATTATATCTAGCAGGAACTGTTAATACTTGAAAATCACATTAAGATATTAAAGAAGAAAATTTGTACTTTCACTGCAAAAGATGCAAAATTTTCAATTCATACCATCAAAGATATTCTTAGTAAGTTAGAAAAAGAAGGTAACTTCTATAACCTGGTTGGTATCTTCCTAAATATCTACAGAAAACATATTTCTGATCAGAAAAGTGAAAAACAAGACAAAATGCTCACTATCACTATCCTCCTTAAAACTGTACTGGAGGGCAAAGGGCACAGTGATTTAGTGAGATAAGAAAAAAATAAGTAAAGCATACAAGAATTGGAAAGTAAGAAATAAAACTGTTATTATACGCAGACAACTTGATGGTCCAAGAGAATAGCAAACGATTAAAATTAGTAAGAGAGCACACCAAGGTTGCTAGATACAAAAGCAATATAAAAAAAAAAATCAATAATGGTCTGTAAAAGTGGAGAGAAAGATAATATTTCAAAAAAGAAAAAGACTTTAGTAGTGCCTCAAACAACCCAAGTGTCTACTAGAACTCACAAATCAGCAACAAAGACTAAAAAGATGGATATGCATACAGGCAATAATTCAGAAAAATTCTATAAAACCAAGAAAAGCTACAGGAAGATAGAAGTTGTAGCCCATTTCTTAAATGATCCTGTGAATGATGAAGAACCTGTAACAAAAAAAGAAAAAGAAAATAGAAAGCAGATCAAAAAATAGTTAGGAAGTGCCAAAAGTTGACAGCAAAATAGAGAATAAAAAGCAAAATACCTGCATGAAAAAACAAGTACAAAGATGAAAATTCTGAAAAGTAAGTCGAGTTAAAAAAAGCATCAAGCCTGCTCAGAAGGAGCCTGTTCAGAAGCTTTCTTAGGTGGGAGGTGCCTGCTTCTGGTGGGGTGGGGGACTGCTCAGGTAAAACGACCTTCTCCCATAGGGCTTCCTCTTCACGAGATGCCCATTCCCAAAAAATCTCCTTCCTAAAAAAATAACAAAAAGGATAAGTCCAACATGCAGAGTGAATCTGCAGGAGTCCCCATTCCTGGGGGCCGCTGACCCATAAGTTCTGCGGCCTGTTAAGAACCCGACACATAGCAGGAGGTAAAGTGGGGTGGTATTTTTCTGCATTTGCAGCCGCTCCCCGCTCCCCAGTGGCTCCCTGCTCTCCAGCGCTAGCATCAATACCTCAGCTCCGCTTCAGATCATCAGGCAATAGATTCTCATAGGATGACCTGTCCCTGGTGCCAAAAAGGTTCGGGACCACTGCTCTAAAAGAAAATACAACATCCAAAGGAAAGTGCAGGTGCCCAGGATCTCTTACCACCATCACCAATACTGCTTCTGAAGGGAAACTTAAAAGAAGAGTCTCCCCCCAACCCAAAAAAAACTGTTCTCCGAAGGGAAGGAAATGGAGAAGCCCCTCTTCAGAAGGTAGGAGCAGAAGAGGCAGATATGGAGGTATCTACTGGTATTTCATCCTCTGAACAAAATATGAATATGACAGAGAGTGAGAGTTCAGATAGTGAATGTCAGGTTGACACTATGCTTTTTGTGAAATGAAAATGGACAGGATCAAGACCCAACAGAGAATCCTCCCGGTAAAGACTCAGTAGTAGAAGAATCAATTTCAGCCCTGCTTCTTCCCCCACCATTAGAAAAACGTGAAGCAGCGTCCAAAACTGTCCTGGTATTACCTTCTATTATCATGACAATAAATAAGTCTCAGAAAACTGATGATAATGAAGGCATCCAGTCATGATGGAGGTGACCCAAGTGACAACATGTCAGAGGGTAGTGATGATTCTGGATTAAATGGGGTTCAGCTAGTTCCACAAGAAAACTGGTAAAAAAAAATGCAAAGAAGGTCTTGGCAGTCTAAGCGGCTGAGGGAGATTTTGTTTGTATCTTCTGTGCTTGTTCTTTTCAAAAGGAAAAAGATTAGCAGTTCAATAACCCTTTGATTAATGTATACATCCTTGAAAAAGCAGCTGAGGGACAGGAGTAATTAAACTTTAGACAAGTCTTCAGTTCTTGTGTGTGTGTGTGTTCCAATGCAACTTTATTTATGGACACTGAATTTTATATAATTTCCCCATGTCATAAAATATTGTTCTTTGATTTTTTTTTTCAACCACTGAAAATGTAATAACCATTCTTAGTTTATGGGCCATAAAAACCAGGCAGCAGGCTGGATTCGGCCAGTGAGCCACAGTTTGCTGACCTGTGGTCTAGATACCTACATTGAGGGGTCTACAGGAGTTCTCTGAGGGAGACCTACATGCACCTTCATCCCCTAAGCAAGGCCTGGGTTACGGAGTTGGCATGGGAAAGATCTGTGGGTCCCAAAGGAGATGTTCTGGCTAACCCCTTGGCCTCTACTCAGAAACTCTGTGTGGCTGGTGATTTGGAAAGTGCAGTTTGCATCCCTGGAGCCAGGCTCTGGGCCCTGAGCCCAGGCCATCTGCCGCTTCCTTCTGTCAGCTCAAGAGCTTTGGTTCTTAGTTTGTAAGATCTATTATACTTCATATTCATTCACAGTGGTAGACAACCGTTTATTTTTAAGGCTGTTTTAGTATCTGATGTTGATTTTTAAGTGGCATTCTTTTCCTTAGGACTTTATGTATGCCTATTGGTTGTTGTATAAATTTTAGCAAATCCAAGGGAGTCAGTGTACTAA